CTCATCATAATGATCCCGTGAACATCAGCCTTGAACATTCTAGTCTCCTCTGACATCAATTCTTGAACTTGGCTCCCCATTGTCCAAGGCAACTTCCACATGCCTTTTCCCAGACTTTGACAGTTAGAATGCACTGATTATCCAGCCTCTTCACCCTCCAATCTCCTCTAAGCTCCAGACAAGCGCAGAGGTCACGACCTGGCCCTTTCACTCCTCCCTCTGCCTGGGATGCTGTCCCGCCTGCTTTGTGTTGCATCTGCATTTTTCTCACATCCGTTTTCTAATTCACTCATTTTCTCTTCAGCTGGGTCTAGCCTATTCTTTACCTTTGATCAGTGCTGGCGTGTAACTAACCCTCCACCGGGTTTCCAAGGTCATAAATGGCATGGGAGGTAACTGTCAATCTTCCTCCCCTCAGGGTTGTTGGTGGATTTGAACCAACAGAGACACACAGTGACTCTTTATGGATGATGCCACCAGAGCGCCTTAATGTACTTACTAACTCGGCTAATTATATTTTTCTTTTCATCACAAGATTTCAAGAGCTTTAAATTTGGTTCTTTTAAACACCTGCCTATTCTTTTGTGTGCGTATGTAAATATGCTGCCTCCTGTAACCTTAACTCCCACTCAGCTGGTTCTGACCCAGAGTGAGCCTCCATCAGGCCTCCAAGATCGTGCATCTTTACAGGACAGGATTGCCCACCTTTCTCCCCTCAGAGTGACTGCTTGAAGTGAATCTCCACCCTTTGGTCAGCAGCTCAACATCGTTACAGACTATACTCTTTCCTTTTATTCACTGCCATCAAGTTGGAACCGGCTCATAGCTGAGGTTCCATTGGGAATCTGAGTGTGTAAATTGTACGGGAGGCCCTTGCCCATCTTTCTCCTGAGGAGCCGCTGGTGAATTCAAACCACCAGAGTCTATGGGTTAGCAGCGCAACTCCCCACGGACTATGTCACCAGAGCACTTTCCTTTAGGGCTTTGGAAATGAAGCATAGCTAATCTGAAAATTCCTTCAAGATAACTCTATTCTCTACAGTTCTTCAGGCGCTAATGGCCCCATTTTCTGGCCCAGATGACTTAAAGATGGGCTTCCTTGTGTGCAATGTTCATTTTTGTGAGTGTATGATTTAAAACACACAAGGGGGGGGGAAAGTACCATTTTTACCATTTAAGCGTATGAATCAGTGACATTAAATGATTCACGGTGTTGTGTAACCACATGCTTTTTCAACTTTGAGTTGGCCTTCCTTGGGAATTGTAAAAAATGGCCAAGCTGTCTTCCGTAAATGGAAGTCTCAGATCTGTCACAGCCAGGGACCCCTGGGCTTGTCAGGCTAACATGGAAAGGGACAGAGAAGGGGCTGGAATCAAGAGTTGTGCATAAAACCAGAGTCGAGAGAGAAATGTCTATCGTGAAAGAGAATTCTGTAGGAACATGGCCCACCAAGGTCTCCCAAGTGCCAACTTGTGCACAGCTTGAAATCCAGGGGTTTACCCTGGGGGTCTGAATGGAAGTTAAGTCACCCACACGGCAGCAGAACCCAAGCCTACACAGTCGTGTCCTCAGAGCAAAGGAAAGCTTGGAAATTGGCCTGGTTATTGAGAACTTATTTCATTATTCTATTTTTTTCCCCCTGGATGTTTACATTTTTGTCGTGATGAACATGTTTATATTTTTTTAAAGTCATAACAATCTTCTAAGATTAAAAGCTGATTCCAAATTCTCTGCATCACTTGGCTTCATTTCCAGCTCCCAGGCCAGTTTGCCGAGTTCAACTCTTTAGTTCTGGCCCTGGAAATTTCCCCACAAGCTTTGGCTTCCAAGACGTCCCCACATCCCCAACAAGATCCACTGTTAAGTGTGTATGTTAGTAGAGTTGGTAGGTTAAGTTGGAACAGGTGCCCAAAGTTCTTGTTTGGCACAAGAAAAGGCTTTTAATGAGTTCTAAATCTGCAGGGGCAGCACATGAAGTGACTGTGATGAATGTGTTGCAAGTAGGGCTCAGTTCTGTGGTTTCAAGGTGGAGGTAAATTTACATAATCTTAATGGGCATGTGTGTGTTATCCCTGTAACCTAGGTACTCTCTGTTTTCTTGGCATATTTTATCCAGCTTCTCCACCATTTAGCAGGAGAAAAAGAAGGATTTTCCTATCTGCTGTCAATCTGACAAACCAAACGGAAGTTCTTTTCCCTGAGCAAACTCTAACTCATCCTTCAAAGCCCCACTCAAACAGCCCCTCCCAGAGGCAGTGTGCCAGGTGCACAGTCACTACCACTTGTCTTGGCTCTTACAGTCCCCTGGTGATTGGGTGATGACTTGTCCAGTCCTTGTCAGTAGAGGGAGCCTACTTGAGGACAAGCACAGAGCCTGCGGCAGAGCTTAGCCCAGGGCCTGGTGCACAGTTGATCCAGAGCCAGCTGCCCCATTCAGTGAGGATTACTGATTGTCCGAAACAGCGAGACACCTGAGGTGTAGTGTGGCTGTGGGCTTTCGGGGGCTGTTCCGTGACTGCTGTGGGGGAGACCAGGGCCAGCGCCGAGCCAGCAATCTGCAAGATGCTGATGAATGGGAACTGTTCCCCAGGACAATGCTCCTGCTCTGTCCCAAGGGGAAAAGCAGGGGCAGGCCCAGACCAAACCCGCAGCTGCCCCCAATCCTTTCTTCTGGCCCAGCAGCCCCCAGGGCCCACAAACAGGCACACAGCTCTGCTCCCAGCCCTGGCCTTTTGATCCAGGCAAGCATCAACACCTGGCTGGCAGCCTCCACCGGCTTCTGACCTTATCGGGGCTTGGGGAAGAGACAGGTGTCTGCAGCACAGACCAATTAGGTGACTTGCCTGGTTGCCCACTGAGTCACATCCTGGTCTAGCTTGACTGGCTTCTTGGCTCTGATGGACAATAGGATAAGGGCACTTTGGGGAGCCACCCTCGTTGCCAGGGATGGGCAGGATGAAAAGGGTCAGCACTGGAATGCAGGGAGCTCTGAGCCCTGAGGTGCCACCCTGAGAACACAAGGATGCCAGCGTCTGCAGAATCCTGGAGCCTAATTCTAGGTGTGCTGCTTTCTCCTCATAAGATCATAAAGAAAGCTGTATGCAAACCAACATAAAATTAAAAGTTTTAAAAAAAAGACTTTAAACAAGTCACCTCTTCCTCTGGACCCTTGACTCTTCAACCAGAAAGTAAACCTAATCAAAAGGAAGCCTGTAGAGTGATGGCACTTGACCTCCAACTAAAAGGTGGGTAGTTCAAGTTCACCCTGAGGCGTCTTAGCAGAAAGGCCTGGTGAGCTGCTTCTGAAAACCAGCCACTGAAAACCCCACGGAGCTCAGTTCTACTCAGACATGTCGGATTGCCCTGAGTTAGCACTGACGGGCTTGGTGTTTTTGTAGAACTCCTGAAACAGTCTAATAGGACGTCTATGGGTGATTTGGCCACCTCCAGCCAAGTCGCCAGAGATGATGGGGACTATGGTGACTCTTTTCTCCTGAGTCCAGAGAACAGCCTGGGACACAATCCTGGAGGAACCCAGGAGCTCGGAGCCTCACACCTTGCCCTTCATACTCCATGGAAGGCTGGCCACTGCCAGTGTATACTGAATAGAGAAGGCACAGAGGACAGCAGAAGCTCTGGACCCAGGAGGGCATGAAGCCCAGACCCTGAATGACATAGGAGCCAGCGAGGGACAGGGCTAGGGGTAGGATCTCCCCTCCTTTTCCCCACCAGCTCAGCTCCTATACCCCTTCACCCCCTCATCTTGTTCCCCATCTGTGAAAGCTGGCCACTCACTGCACATCGAACCCGGGAGGATGAAGGGCCCAGCCTCAGGCCCTGAGCAAGCTTACTTGCTCAGACCCAGCCAAGACGGCCCAGGAAGGGCGGAGCAGCTGAGGCTCCCGCAGGAGCAGAGGCGACTTCTGCCAGGGCAGGGACTTGTCCATCCTTGGAAGTTCTGGACCACACAGCCCAGCCCAGCCCTAGCTTAGTCAGTCTTTCCTTATAAAGGTTGAGCCTCGAGCTACCGCATCCCCTCTCCTCTGAGCCTCAAAGACCCCAGCTGGGAAATGAGGCCGGTGGCCAGCTGTGCTATTCTATGAGCTCACGGAGGCTGTCTATGAAGCCTGGCGTTGTGTGCACTGGAATGCCACCTAGACAGGTCAGGCGGGTTCCTGGACAGAGCTGGCTCACCCCTGCCCTTCCCTCACGGGAGAGCCCAGGCAGGGCATGGGGTTCACACACCTGGCAGGACTGGAATCCTGACCATGGACCTTCTCCAGAGCTAGTTAGATCACAGACAGACAGACTCTGGGATCCAGTGGCCCAGAGACAGACAGGGTCACATGCTCAAGGCTCCTCCCCACCTGGGATCCAGCTCTGGTTCTGAATCTTCGCCCAGGCTTGAGGAGATCTCGCTGATGGTCCTTTCATCCATGGTCAGTGGCAGGACAAGGGGCCAGAATCTCAGGTCCCAAGGGGCCATGAAGTTGACAGGGTAGGAATAAGAGAGACCCAGTTTCCCGAGAAAGGGGTGACTTATACTGATAGGCTAGGCTAGGTATTTTATGACTTGACACCATTACCAGGCTCAGCTCACAATCCACAGGGGCCAAGGCTCTGATTCAGGCGGCCCTGCAGGTGACTCAAAAGACTGGAGCCCCCAGAAAGAAAGAATTTCAGCCAATGTCGAGCCCAGAACCTGGTTTCTCAGAGTCCTGCCCAGGGCAGAACTAACGATCTCATTTGTCACTGAAGAGGTGACCCCAGATTTGGCAGTTGTTGGAGGTATGGATAAGCAGGGTCTCCAGGGCTCTGCTGTCCCTGCCCCCCTGCAGTGACCTCAAGAGTCTCCTTTACCAGCCTCCCCAAAAGAAGGGTGATCTCCAGGGGGTTAGGCCCTAGACCTGCACTTCCAAGAAGGAAATGGCCCTAAGAAATGGACTAACTGGGGAAGAAGAGTCCAATAAGTGGGGTCTGGGAGTGGAGAGAGCCTCACCTGACTGCAGCAGGCCAGCACCTCGGTCCTTGACCCCAAAGTGCTGCTGGATGTCCAGAAGGACGCCTGGGGGGGAGATAGAGGGTTATTAGTGGAATGTCTAGATGTCCCCAAGTGCCCTGACCACTCCCCCCACCCCACCTAGATGACTCAGCCTTCCCTCTCACACATGTCCATGGAGCCCCCAGACCTGCTTCAACCTCACCCCCTCCCAGCCCATCTAGACCTTTTCAGGGACCTTCAAGGCCGAGCCTCCACTTGCTTCCACAGGCCCCTGCCCAAGCTCACCCCAGGGAGAGCATCACATCTGCAGGGACCCAGGGCTTAGATTTAGACAAGGCTCCTTCTGGACCACAGAGCCAGGCCTCTGTCTGTTGGCCTGGGTCCCTTGTCCACGCACAGCCTGCTGTGGCCTGGGTGCTAGTACCCTCAGAGGAATGTATAACACCCATGGCCCAGAGAGGAACCAGGTGACCAGGGAGCAGACCCAGAAAGTCAGAGGTGTGCTTCTGGCTGAGGGAGCCCAGGTGGCTAGCAGACCACCCTCACGTTGCTCGCCTGCACATGTCCATAAGCACCCAAGAACACACACGCCTGCCCAGCTGTCCTGGGATTCTAACTAGGACCTCAGATGCAGGGGAAGCAGGGAGGCTACAGGCCCACTTTCTTGGGGAAGGGGAACCTTTGCCCTGTTCACAAATCCCAGCTAGAGAGCCATGCTATGAGGGGGACTAGGTACAGACCAGCAGAGTCCTGGCTGTGTGGAGGTCTGAGTGGCCCACCGGACCCCTCCCACCTCTGGTATCACTCAAATGGGGCCCTTGAGGAACATCACCCCCAACTCCTCCAGCCCCAGAGACTCATCTCAGGGGGCTTATCTCTGAGGACAGCAGGAGGCCCCAGACCACAACACATCTGCACTGAGAAAGGAAGATAGGGAAAAGGGAAGGGAGCCCCCACGCAGTGCCTCACAGAGGAAGAGGGGACCCAGGCTCTTAGCAGATTGCCAGAGCTCTGAGAGTGGTGAGGATAATGGCGATGGCATTAAAATCTATGACGCTTTGCCTTTTGTTGTTGTACTGTCAAGTTGGAACCAACCCATAGCTGACCCTGCAGCAGGTTTTCAGAGGCAGAAAATCACACAGGAGACTGCCCATCTCTCTCCCACAGAGCAGCTGATGGATTCAAACTGCCTATCTTAGTCTTGGTAGCACAATGTTTTGCCACTAACAGCACACCAGAATATGAAGACGTCACCATAAACTAATTTACTTGTACAACCCTATGAGAGTGGTATTATTATTCCACTTGCCAGATGAAGAAACTGAGGCACAGATGGTTAAGCCATGTGTTCGAAATCACACAACAGAAGTGGCCTCTGTGAGCATTAAATGTCAACCTCAGTGGCTGGCGCTGGGGCACAGGGTGAGCTTGTGACAATACTGTCCCTCCCAGTCTCAGGTGCAGAGCAGTTTCTCAGGATGTGAAGTTAGAGTCAGCTGATGTCCTAGAAGTTCCACTGCCAAGAGGAGCGGGCCTCCTCCTTGTTAATTCCCAGTGGATTTACCATAATTATCCATAATGAGGAGGCCGTGTGAGGCCCAGTTAATGACTTAATAACTAAGGCCGGGGCTGTGGTCTTGCCGTGAAGACAGAAGCAGAGGCTAGTCCCTGGGCTGGCAGATGATGGAGCCACCAACTGGGACCTCCTAGGTGTCCAGGCCCAGAGGCCCAGGGCAGGTGGCACAGCTGGGTCTGACCTCAGAGAGCCATCCACCCTCACAGCCCACCCCTGAGCCTGGAAGCTGCCTCCTCTCTGGTCAGGGCCTCTGTTGTCCTCCATCACACACCTTTCTCTCACATTGTCACTGTCACCGTGGCCCTCCAGTGCCTTGGGGAAGGTCCAGGTTTTCATCAGGTTTATGGAGCTTTATGGTCTATGCTGCCAACTCTGCCCTCTGGCCTTATTTCTTGGGATTCTCCTCCACTCTCACTCTAGCAACCCCAAGCCCTCATGGTGTACCCAATCCACAAACGTCTCACCTGTCAGAATCTTTGTTGGTTGCGCTAATTCCTAACAGTCCTTCAAGACTAGACCAGATGCTGCCTCTTCTAGAAAGTCTTCCCTGATTTCTTCCCTTTCCATCATTCCTAGTGAGTTGGCCTGACTTTGGTTTACCATGTGTCACACGAGAATTGGTTCATTCTGCAGTTCCATTGATCCATTGAAGCTGAGAGGTATATAGGCCATGAGTTACTGGTTCCGGCCAAGTTCCAGTCACTGTGTGAAGCCCTATTCTTATTAAGCACGCTGGTATTTAGAAGTATCAAACAATTTTACACTTGAGGTAATGAAAATACTTTGAGAGGTTAAAAAAAAAATCTATCATACAGCATGTAAAATATCTGAGGCAGGATCTGAACTCAAGGCTATTGCCTAAGAACAAAGCTTGTTTCAACCATATTTGCTTGAATGCACAACCTATATCCATGAAAGAAACAGCAAGCCATGCATCACATTGGCAAGTCTGCTGCAAGGACTACTTTCAAGTGTTAAAGAGCAAAGACGTAATTTTGAGGACTAAGGTACACCTAACCCAGCAGCTTTTGTGGCCTAGTGGTAGGGAGCTCTATTGCCATTCCAAAGGCACACAGTTCAAATCCACCTGCTGCTCTGCAGGAGAAAAATGGGCAATCTCCTCCTAAGTGATTAAACTGCCACTATGGGACTGCTAGGAGAACAAATAGGTTCATCCATGAGAGGGTGAAACCACGCTGCTCCGGAGACAAGGCAAGGAGAGACCAGTCCTTGGAGAAGGACATCATGCTTAGAAGGGTGGAGGGAAAGTGCGAGTGAGAAAGACCCTGCGTGAGATGGATTGACTCAGTGACTGAAGTAACAGGGGTAGGTGTGTCAGGGACAATGTGGTTGGCTCAAGATAGAGCAGAGTACAGAGTTGTTGTACATAGAGTCACTGAGTTGCAAGTGATTTGACGGCACATAACAACAACAACAACAATGGGTCAGTTCTGACTGGGTGATACACAAGAACAACCACTACTCAAGCTATGGTATTTTTCAGTTGCAACAAGATAGATGACACAGTGGCTGCAGCAATAGGCTCAAGTATGGTGGAGATGATATGATGAGGATGGGGCAGAGTTCAGATCCGCTGTTCACAGGGTTGTACTCAACCTGACAGCACTTAACAATAACATGTGCATGCATGCAAGAGCTGGACAATAAATAAGAAAGGCCAAAGCCAAATTGTTGCCTCTGAATTACAGTGTTAGTGAAAATTGCCGAATATACCATGGACTGCCAGAAAAAACAGACAAATCTGTTTTGGAAGAAGAGCAGCCAGAAGGCTATTTAGAAGCGAGGGTGGTGAAACTTCCTCTCAACTACTGTACAGGGTCATGTTTTCCGGAGGGGCCAGTGTCTGGAGAAGGACGTCAGACTCGGTAAAGCTGAGACACACTTCAGTGAACTAGACTGACACGGTGGATGCCATTGTGGATGAGGATGGCACAGGATGAGGCTTTACTCTGTCACACACAGGGTCGGAACCAATTAGATGACACTCGACAACCTCTGCATGGTTCCCATCTATCCCCTAACCCGTCACACAGCTGGGACTCAGTGACCGTTGGTGAGTTCCATATAAACAGGTAGGTGAGTGCTCACTCATGCCACACTGCGCCCCTGGAGGGCAAGACCCACAGTGCACCCTCTCCAGAACCCAGGACGGAGCCAAGTTGGTTGCCATTGAGTTAATTTTGACCTGTGGTGACTTCACATGACTCCACACGTGCAGGGGAGAATTACACTCCGTAGGATTTTTGTCAGCAGATTTCTCAATGGATTTGAACCACCAACCTCTTAGCTAGCTGTTAAGCACTTAACTAATTGTGCCACAGAAGGACTCAAGACGTTAAGACTCATTATTTAGGTGTTGAGTGGGTAAAAGGATAGATGAAGCAGACGATGCAGTGGGGTAGAACCTCCCCACTGGAACCCTGCACTGAGGGTGCCCACCCACAGCCCAGAGCAACCCAGGGCCTGTGTAGGAGCCACCGGCTTTCTGATGGGAGCAGGGCCCTATCAGGAGAGTACCCATGAATATATCACGTGCTCACAGCAAATCAAAGTACTCTCACTTCCTCTTCAGAGCACACTCCAGCCTTCCAAGCCCAGTGTTTGCCTCAGTTTCCAGGAAGCCTCCCCAGACTTCATGTATCACTCAGAGCTCCTGGCAATGGGGAGGGATGTTTTCCACACCCAACTGGGCATCAGGGAGCTTCTTGGAATTCCCAGGAAGGCTCGGATAGGGTGTAGAGCCCAGGACACCAGAAACATTGGGTGTTCACACCCACCCATGCCCCTCAGCCCAGAGCCCAGCCTGGGTCCAGGTCATGAGCTGCAGGCAGAAGGGGCAGAAGGACACTTTGCAGCGAGCAGGCACCCTCAGGGTCCTCCCAGGCTTGTTTTCCTTCATCTAGGCTCAGAAGGGGCTGTGTCTGCAGGAGGGCAATACCCCGCTGGCCGCTGGCACGGGGAGTGTGTGTCACGGCTGCTCGGCCAGTTGCCTCAGATTTTCCTCTGGGCTCCAGCCTGGCTCTGGCCCATGCACCCCCTCCCTTCTTCACCACAGCCTTATTTTTAGCCTCCTTCCTGGAGGCTGAGGTTCGGTGGGTCACAGGACGGGGCTCACAGGACTGCCCAGAAAGAGCCTCTCCAGACCAAGACAAGTCCACGCAATTCACCAGCCATCACTGGGGTGTGAGGGGGGAGCTCCCACCCCTCCCACACCCGCAGCTCCCAACCCAGACCTCTCCAGGCAGCCGCCCCAAACCCACATCCAGAATTGCTCTCTGCTCACAGTTCATTTTCTGGCCTAAGAAAACATTCTAGAACAGTGGGCTCCCTGCCCCCAAACCTTCCCATCCATTCACTCCAGTTACGCCCCTCCCAGGCCCCCAGAGGTCTTGCCTCTTGTCTAAGGCTCATCATCTCTTATTCTACTACGTCAATCATCTCTCCTGTCTCTCAGGGAAGGTTTCTA